TAAAATAAAATAAATATACGAAAATATATAATTAATAATAAAAGACGAAATACAGACAAAAATTAAGTAGACAATTTTCGAAAAAAATTAAATTCAATACCAACAAAAACGATCCAAAAGTCATAGCTAACCTGGAATCGAAATTAGCCAATTTCTGCCTTATCTCCCCATAGTCAGTAAGAAGTTGATCAAGTGGGTACTTGGACCCGGGCTGAATTAGGGTATCGTCTAGAGAATCATTGTAACAATACATGCCCCCCTGACATATTAGGCCCTTCGCGAACATGTACGGGCCAGCAGATGGTAGGGGTAACTCGTGATGGTGGCCTGCAATTTGGAATTAAGATTGCGGTTGAGATTTTAAGAGATGGATGGAATTAGGATTAGATTGAGATGAGAATTCGAAGGAGTAATCTTTTTTATTATTAATATTCGTTACAGCAGAACGAAGTATAGCAGAGCTTTGCTGTTTATATGATATATTAGTAATTGAAAATCGTTAGTTACGCGAAAGATATAATTATGTAGAAGGACAAATATGGAAAAGTTACATTCAGGATCAGAAGGTCTACTCTTCTTAACGAGGAAATTTGTAAGACCAATTACTCCCACCAAAACAACGAGGGGTGTCACTATGTCAACCAGCAACAAAAACTGCATTCAAAAAAATCGTTTCCAAGTTATTTTTAAATTTATGTGTAAAATCTATTGTACGAATTTGTCCGTTGAAAAAGTTATAAAATTTTGGCGACTTAATGGTGCAATTGTTGCCCTTGGTCTTGCAGTTGCAGCGTAGTTACCGGGTTCAAGTTCGAACGGATCCTTGCAGGCAAAATTTTACGAGAATTTGATCTATGTAAGATTAGTGGTGATTAATATTTTAAATACCTTGCTGTATAATATTAAGTGGACGTTTTTTACCAGCATGTTTTTCAACTGCGTCAAGAACAAAACCATTTTTAACGTTATTTACAATCTAACTCTGAACCACCAAATGTTTAGAAAGTAATTAATTAATTAATTATTAGTTCAGTTATATATTCGAATGTCCATGTATTATCTTCTAAATTTAAAAATGACAATACAAAATGACGTCATATTGACGTCGTTAAATAAAGAATAAATTGATTAAAAGTAATTTTGGATAAAGTTACATCTAATATTCATCTTCTTCAATTTAGTAATTTTTTACAATTGATTTTATTAAGACATTTAATAATATTTTATTCCTGGTTTTAATCGCAGCCCAACCGTTGAATCGACCAACTATTTTATGCAACTATAAAATAAATTAAATCAATTCACACATCACTAAAAATAACTTTTACTCAAAAATGGCGCTATTCTGAGCGAATTTTAAATTATAAAAAAAAAGTTGAAAAAAATTGTTCCTATTCGTTTTAAAGATAAAGTCTTTTTATTATTAAAACAACTAAATTATTTTATTGTCTACAATTGAAAAGAAATAAAAATGGATGAGGAATCTTCCGCTAATTTAAATACACGCCTAAAATTTGACCTGTCCTTAGCTGAAGAAAGCCAAGTGAAAACTGGAGTCCAGGAGTTAGAAATGAATTTTCAGTATTTTTAAAATTTATCATTTTTAATTTTGTTGTCTTTATTAAATAAATATTGTAAAAAACGTGTTGGAGTTGTCTGTCTGCCATTCATTTTATGTTGGCCTTTGCATTGCCAATTTTATTTCTTATTACCTTAAAAAAATAAAAAACAAAAAGTCAAAGAGACAAATTAGTAACAAGTATAACTTTTCATAAGTTATAATACTTCATTCCACTAACAAAAAAGGACAACTTAACTAAAAAAAACCTCTTTTTTAAAATAAATGAAATAATTGATTACAGTGTTTTTGGTTTATTTATTTTTATATATTTATGACAGGCAAACTTCAAATATGTTTAAAAGTTTAAATGCTTATTATTTTTTATTCATATTAGGATATATTAACACTGTTAATTTAACAGGTTAAACTACTTTTACATTAAAACTATATGAAATATCACATATCATTATATTACAATATATTATAATACAATACATTACAATACAATACATTACAATACATTACATTACAATGCATTACATTAAAATGCATTACTTTACATGAAAAAAATTCACATTTTTTTCTAAGTATTTCCCAACTACCAGTTCCATGCTCACTGGACCTTGACACTACACCTCCCTCTGTTTCATCATTGAGAGGTTTTTAATTTTTTTTTTTTATAAAAATAATTTTTAAATAATAAATTATTATTATATTACATGAGATATATTATATTTATAATTATTTGTATGGCATTTGAATGTTCATTTCTTAAATTATATAAAAATTATATGATAAATGGTAATATTATTGATTTTTAAAATAATTTTTCAAATTTTATTTTTTTGCAAAAATTTAAAGAAGATTGTGATAGCATACATTTCAAGGGAGTCAATTCTTTTGTTGATAATTCACCATTTCTTCAATTCAAGTAATTGTTAATTAATTAATAATATTAATAAATAAATAAGTTAATTAATTAACTTATTTATTTATTAAGTAATTAATTAGTTAATATTATTTTGTTTTAATATGATTTTTAAATTTTCAAACTTATTTTTAAACCGTTAGGAGTGACAATTCCAAGAAATCGATACTGATAAAGTCGAGAGAGTATAGAGAAAAATTCTTTTTATTGAATTTTTTTCAATAAAAAATATTTATTTAATTTTGATAATTAAACGTATTTTAGATTTTATACCTATTAAATTCATCAAATAAACATTATTATTTTTATTATTGCTATTATTTTTTTTTTCTCAAGCTCCAACAATAGCGAATTATTTGAAAGTTTCTACGAACGTTCAAAGGTTTTTACATAATTAATTATATATTATATTAATATATATATGTATATAATTTATTATGGTTATTATTATTGCTGTTGTTGTTGTTGTTGTTGTTGTTGTTGTTGTTGTAAAGTGAAATTTAATTACATTTGCTCTAGTTAGACTTTTCATCATAACAATGACATTTAATTAAATCTTTGAATAATAAAAAATTTATTTTTGGCTCTACGGTGTGAATAAACACCATTATTATTATTATTATTATTATTATTATTATTATTATTATTATTATTATTATTATTACGTCATAATTTAAATTTTTATTTTAATTTATGTTTTTTATTTTAATCTAATTTTCCTCCTTTAAAGGGAAATAGCCATTTGATGAAGAAGTCAAATAGAGAGGAGAACGACAAAAGGACCAACAACAACAACAACAATAGTAATAATAATAATATGAACAACAATAATAATAATAGTAATAATAATAATAATTCGAACAACAACAATAACAATAATGTTTTGACTAGGAAAAAGTTTTTCCTAGCCGACAGACATCCTCACCTCAGTCAGGAGTCTCCTATTACAACTAATAGAAAAATTATCAATAAAACAAAATTATTCAATAATAATAACAATAATAATAATAATGATGACAATAATAATAATTGCGGCAATAATAATAATATAGCTGATAATTATAGTAGTATATCTCCACCGGCCTCGCCAATGATAATGGATATGTCATATTCGGTTAGATCTTTCTCTCTCTCTCTCTCTCTCTCTCTCTCTCTCTTTCTCTCTCTCTCTCTCTCTCTTTCTCTCTCTCTCTCTCTCTCTTTCTCTCTCTCTCTCTCTTTTTCTGCCTCTTTCTCCCTCTCTTTTTATTTCTTTCTCTGTGTGTGTGTGTTTGTTTGGTGTGTGTGTGTCTTTATGTTCTTGTGTCATTTTTCTTAGTGTAGTTTTTGTTTCATTGTTTCTCTGCTCTATTTTTTTTTTGGTGTAACGTCGTTGTGTTGTTTGGTGCTGGTTCACATGTTGTTAAGTTGTTTGTTGGGCTAGTTGTCTGTTCATTTTCCTGTCTGCTTGTCTATCTGTCTGTCTGTTTTGTCTGTTTGTCTTGTTGGATCGTTTGTTTGTTCATCCTTCCCTTTTCTCACAGAACCCAAAAAGTCGACTATCAAAATTGCAACTCCACTCAATGAGGACGACGAGCACGCCACGCAACGATAGCAGCAGTTGCAGCAGCCACATCAGCCACAACAGAGGCGGGCATAACATCTTTAACGTTAATGATAAGAAGAATTTCTACGACGACGACGATGATGATGAGGAGGATAGTGATGAAAATAGCAATGGAAACTTAGATGACAACCGGAAGAAAAAAATGATGGTGAAAATGGTGAAGAGGAATGCTGGTGAAAGAGGTTGCGTCATTGGCGATGGTTCTAGAAGGAACCTATTCAAGGGTGATGGTAATGAGTTGAAAAGTAAAGCCGATAGTGACGACAATGAAATGGAGGTTTCAGAGGTAAGATGCGATAATGATGACGTTGAGATTTTTCACCGTCCAATTACTTACACTGAGTCTGATGATGCTGCTTACAACAACAACCACAACCACCATCACATCAACAGTTATTACATCAACGACAATAGCAACAACAACGGCAACAACAACTACGACAGCATCAACAACAACAGCATCAGTGACAGCAACGACAATAGCGCCAGCAACAACGCATCACAGATGTCTTGGATAGAGGGTAATAGTAACTTGGTGGGGGACTTTTC